ACGGGGTCTGGAAAGATCCCAGGAGAGGAGGAGCCATCGTGAGCAGCTGGGCCTGGGGTGAGTGAGCATTCACCACCTCCGCAGAGAGTGTGGGACAAAGAGCTCCTAGAGGAGAACCCTTTAAAGAGAGGCCTCAAGGTACTCCAAAGAATTTGTGGAAAGTAGAATTTTTACTTAGGGAGCAAACATTTTTGAAATCCATGAGGTGTTTTCATGACATGCATTTTTCACGAATTTTTGCACACTTCTTCTGTGTGTGGATTTCAAATTCTTCTTATACCAAAACAGACTCATCTTTTAACCCCATTTTCCACATGTGAACACTTTGAGAGACAGACCCCCACCTGGGGTGGTGGGAAGGAGCTCCCAACTATTGGTTCACTGCCCTTAATGCCTGTGAAGGCCAGGGTTGGGGGTCAGGGCCAAAGACAGGAGCCAGAACTCGATTCAGGTCTCCTACATGGATTGAAGGAACCCAATCACTTGAGCCATCTCCATCATCTTCCAAGGGCTACATCAGTAGGAAGTAGGAGTCATGAACCAGTCTGAAAGCAAAGCAAACCCAGTTACTCCAGCATGGGATACTGACATTTTAACTACAGGTTGAACACCTGCCCCTCCATCACAAATGGATTCTGACATCATAACTCCAAGGTTTAACACCTGCTCCTCCATCACAAACTTTTGGATGTCTCCTTATAGAAGGTATTTTTCATGAGCTGAGAAATAAAACGGGTGCAGGGGCCAGTGGTCCAGAGGATGGAATGGTGGTATGCAGGTAGCTGACAGAATCCTCATAACACCAGAGCAGAACAATGCATAGAAGCTCTGATTTGATACGCAGAACATTCCATCACTGCTACATCCCACTTCCATGGCTCCCAGCTCAAGAGAACTGGAAATAATAGAGGAGGGGAGGTAATCCCAGGAAAATGTAGGCTTATCCTATGGAGACTTTGGCTTTCCCTATCATTTCAACCAACTGTTACTATCTGCCTTCCTTCTCCTCTCCACCCTCTTCTTTCTCTCTCTCTCTCCTGGTTCAAGCCCCAGTAACTCATAATGGCCAGAGGGCCAAGTCCAGGAAGTAGTTCATCTGGGGACTCCCAAGTAGGATTCGGAGGCTGTGTATAGCATTGGCAGGAAACAGAATAGAGAGCTAAGCATGGACTTGAACCTGGGCACTGAAGAGGTCCCAGACCATTGTCCCAAAGGACCATGTAAGAGCCCCCACACATTTAGCTTGAAGTTGCTATGCCTATGCAGGTTGTAAGTGAGCTCCACTTAAAAAACAGCCCACTCAATTCCATTAAGGGTGTTCTAGGTAGAGAGCAGGCAGTTTAATTCCTACCTCTTACTCCACTAACCACCCTCTGAGCAGGATCTAGGCTTCTGAGATTCCAACAGAAGCACTAGGGAAGGCTGCAACCCCGCCCCCCCAACAACAACAACAACCATGGGAGGTTGGGCCAAGGACTGCTGGTAACTTTCCAACATTCTTGTCTAAAGCAGTGTTAGCAAGCCACTCTCCCAAGGAGCCTCAAGAACAGGGAAGACAAGTCCTCATATCCAATCCCACCCAGACTGTGGCACTACCCACAAAGCTGTGCCAAGGGCCCACAAGCTCCACCACCCAGTACAGATAGGGTCAGAAAGCTGCCATCCTCCTCCCACAGCCCCTGCCCCATTATATCCTACCTGAGCTCTGAACTGAGCAGCCCAAACTACCTGGAAGGCTAGGGGCAGGAGGAGGAAGCTACCAGGAAGGTCCTGGGGCCTCCCTCAGGAGCATCTCTCTTCCTCCATCTTCTCTTTTCTTTCACTCTCTCCTCGCTGTTACACTCTTTCTCCTTTCTTTCCTTCATCTCTTTTCCCTTTCTCTAACCACTTACTGCGCATTCCTGCTGTTCCTGGTTCTCTGCTAGACTTTGAGGAGCACAGACATGAACAAGTGGCAGAATCCTACACGTCACATTCTCTCCCCAGCTACAAACTTTGGGGGACTTTCTCTAAATGGACAACTGGAATCCAACATGGCTAACACTGTGACAGAGGGATATATGGCCCTGAGGACCAAGGAGGGCGAAACACCTAAGCCAGAATGCTAGACTTGGGTCTTTGAAGAATGAATTTGCATTTAGTGGATGGATAAAGGAGGCAGGAATAAGGGTTGAGAACAATCCCTCTGAGAAATGGCACAGCGGCTTCATTGGAAGCCTGACAGAGCACTGGGAGAATTGCAAATAGGGCAGCTGTGGCAATTCCCCAGTTTCCCCTTTGGCTATCACAACTAGAATTCATGATCTCTGCAGCCAACATGGGATGAGATTGCTGCCAAGTGGAAGTAACCCAGTAGAATTACCAGCTGTTCTATTAGTTGGGCTTTTCCACCTGCAAAATCACCGTACTGATGTTAGTCCCTGAAGTATTTGTTAGGTCTTGCAACAAGATAAATGTTGAAATTGACAGTAACTGTTACAGAAACTTTTCTAGAAATTTGGCATGGATATTACACTATATATATTGTGCTCTCTAAAAATGATTGATTCAGGCCTGGCGGCGTGGCCTAGTGGCTAAAAGTCCTTGCCTTGAACATGCCAGGATCCCATATGGGCGCCAGTTCTAATCCCGGCAGCTCCACTTCCCATCCAGCTCCCTGCTTGTGGCCTGGGAAAGCTTTGGGACCCTGCACCCATGTGGGAGACCTGGAGGAGGTTCCTGGATCCTGGCTTCGGATTGGTACAGCACCGGCCGTTGCGGCTCACTTGGGGAGTGAATCATCAGATGGAAGATCTTCCGCTCTGCCTCTCCTCCTCTCTGTATATCTGACTTTGTAAAAAAAAAATAAATAAATCTTTAAAAAAATAAAAATGATTGATTCATTGGGATTTAAATATTAAGTAACAACAACAACAAAAATCACACAGCGTGCTTCACTGCAATTGGTAGTACACGTGCAGAGGCAATGGTGGTTCAGCACCACGGCCAGCGCCCATGCTTGCCCAAGCTCTGACTGCCCCCATCTCCAGCCAGTGGCCCTTGGCGAATCCCTAGCTTTCAAATACAATATCTCCTTTTCCCACTTTGCCTTAACTGATCTTCCTAAGAGGTTGGACATTTACTAACATCCGCATCTGTCATTTTTGCTTAAAAATAATTTCCAGTGAAGGAATAAAAAACACCACTGGAAAAGGAGGGCCCAGCTCTTGAAGGCTAGAACCTAACCTTCATCCTAAATATTGTATTGCATTATGCATTTATGTCCGAGTGAATCCATGGAGTGTAGGAGACAAGCCCTATATTTTGTGCTCAATGTGCATCACAAGGCCTGACCCAGAGTTGGTGTGAGCAAACACCTGCCACTTCTCAGGTGCATGAGCTTGGGTGAGGTATACTGGACTTCTTGTTGCTATTGCTCCCCCACCGTCACACAAAGCTCTAATGTTACCCCTATAACATTCTACTTGTGATTAGGTCAGTTAACACACTTGGAAGTGCTTACAGCAGTCCTTGGAACAGAAGAATAAAAGACATTATTAAATGTTGCCGAGTCAGCTCATGAGCTGTTCTTACCAGGCACTTGCATAATGTCACAGCTCTCTACTAGCGAGCTTGGGTCCACACTAGCAGTTTGAGTCTACTCGTATCCTCCACCCAGGGCAGTGAGACTGTCTTCTCCTGCCCCCCCCCCCCACCCTTCTGGTCCCCTACTACCTTCCCTCAAATGTAAAAACAAACTCTCAAGGTTTTGTTCCTTTTTAACTGTGGTAAAACAGACACAACACTAACAATGTCATGAAATCCACCTACGGACTCTTCATCTTGCCAAACTGAAACTCTGCACAGTTAGAAATCTCTCCGCCTCTCTTCCCTCTGCCCCTGACAACCAACCCCCTTCCGCCTCCTGTCTCTAGCAACCTGACTGCTCCATCTTTCCAGGACTGGGCTACCCCGCCGGGCTCATCTGTGTTACAACAGGTGTCAGCACGCCCTTTGTTTTCAAGCTGAATCACATCTATCCACCCAACTCCAGAGTGGACAAGCATCTGCTTCCAATTATTTTCTGTTCCCCCTTTGGCTTTTCCAGCCCATTTCCTGCCACCTTCTCGCACCCTCAGGGTCCCTCACAACCCTGACTCGGGATGCAAGGGACCTTTCCCCACCGCGTCTCCCTCCTGGCCTCTGGGTGCTTCTACCCTCAGCCCACCACCTTCCCTAACCACCTTCCCGCACGCCTGGCTGCTTCGCGGACACCCTAAGTTCCCTTGCCTCAGCTGTTGCTGCAACGCTGCGTTGGGAGACTCCAGCGGTTTGGAGGGAGTCCACCTCCCTCTTCTGTCCCACAGCACTCTCAGATTCACGGTGACGAGCACCGTCCCACGTCCTACCCGCCATCGCCCACTTGCAGCAGCGATAGACACCAAACCCACTCCCCGCTCTCTGAGGATGCGCAAGACACCCAGGAACCACGAGGGGAAAGCCCCGCGAGGCCGGGCAGCGTCGCGCGGTGCTTCCTGGGAGCTGTAGTCCGCGGACGCGCCCGCAGTCCCGGCAGCCCCCGCGCGGAGACCCGCGGGACGCGCCCGCGAAGGTGGCGGGGCCCTGCGAGGCTCGAGGTGCCGGGCGCCGGGCCGGCCGGGGGCGGGGATGGGTCTGGGCGCGGCGGCCGGGCTTGGCCCTGCAGCTGCTGCTGGGGCAGCTGCTGGTCGCGGGCCCCGGGGGCGCGCTCTACCTCGAGGTCCGCGAGCTGGAGAAGAAGTGCTTCATCCAGGAGATCCCCGAGGGCACGGTGGTCCTGGGTACCTTCCCTCGGCGCACCCCGGGGCCAGCGAGCGCATGGGGTGTGGGCAGTGCAGCCTTCCTTGAGGGTGCCAGGGTCCAGGCCGGGATGGAGGAGGGAGGAGATGGCGGGCAAGCGCCTCATCGCTGAGGCCTGCAAGCCAAGAGGGGTGCGGGGGGGGAGGGGGTGCCCTGGCCCTCCCACGACCCCCATGAGGGCGGTGGGCCTGGGTGGACCTGTGACGATCGAGATGCGAGCCACTTGTCTCGTCCTTAGGGACCTATAAGACCGAGCTCTATGACCCTCCAATGGAGAAGTACCAGCCCTCCCCGCAGTGGATCAACTTGTTCGTGTTCGTGAAGGACCCGGAGGACAAGGTGTGCAGCGCCCAGGTCCCGGTGTCGTTGCTTCACCCTGCATTTCCCATGCTCGGGGGAGGGCTGGGCAAGGAAGCGTGTGTTGGCAGCACTGGGGGCCCTCAGTGTGGCCCGGCTCGTGGAAGTCTGGCTTCCTCTGCTGGAAGCAGATACATGTCCAGCTGTGTCCTCTAGAACCTTCTGGCTCGCCAGTACGGCCCCCAGGGCAGCTTTAGCTTCACCTCGCAGTCCCCAGGAGAGCACCAGATCTGCATCCACCTGGAGTCCATCCGCTTCTCCCTCTCCAATGAAGACAAACTGGTGAGTATGGCAGGTGTGTGCCTCCGCCCCCCACTCCCGTGCCCTGGAACCCTGTGTCTATCCTTGGGATGAGATGGGCATGGTGGCTGGTACCATTTGAGGAGCACTGGGGCTTTGTTGGAATAAGCCGGGAAAGAAGGACCTGGAAGGGAGTCTCCCTGACTTAAATCCTGCCTTGGCTTCCTGCCAGCCACAGTTTGGTGTGAAATTCAGAGCCCATCAGCACCAAGGTGCCAGTAGGTTCTCCATGAACACTTCCTCCCAACACAGACCTTCGTGCCTCAGACACTGAGCAGTCATATGGGCAGCGCTCTTGTCCCCCTTGGCTCTGAATGCAGGCCATGGCACTGCAGGCAGCCAGGGCCTCAGGCCAGTGTTCTGGCACCCAGAGCAGAGCCCAGCCCCCAGTGAGTGAGTGTGGCATTGAGCTGCCAGGGCCAGATCCAGTGTAGAGAAGGGAAGCTGGGTCTGGCCCTAGCATGGAGCCAAGTGCCCTGACCCCACGCCTCCCTCACCCCTCTGTGTGCCCAGGCCGTCCACTTGGACATGCAGCTGGGTGAACACACCAACGATTATGCGGAATTTGCCACAAAGGACAAGCTAAGCCAGCTGCATCTGCGCGTGCGGCAGCTGGTGGAACAGGTGGCACAGATCCAGAAGGAGCAGGAGTACCAGCGGGTGAGGGCTGGGCAGGGCCAGTCATGGCGGGGATCATGCAGCCTCCTGAACTTCCGCTGGGGCTAACTTCCATTCTTGCCAGACACTTTCCCTGTTGTCCGCTCCACAGTGGCGGGAGGAGCGCTTCCGGCAGACCAGTGAGAGCACCAACCAGCGGGTGTTGTGGTGGTCCATCCTGCAGACCCTCATCCTCGTGGCCGTCGGCGTCTGGCAGATGCGGCACCTCAAGAGCTTCTTTGAAGCCAAGAAGCTGGTGTAGTAGGGACCCAGAGACCTGGCTGCTGCTCGCTCCCCTTCCGATGCCGCGGGAGGGCAGGTGGCCTGGCTGCGTCTGTCTCCTGCCTTTGCCCACTCGCTACCCTTCCACCCTCCTACCCCATCCCTGCCCAGCTCTGTAGAGCTCCATGGCCACGAGGGACAGAGGACATGTTTGATCCAGTTTCTCAGTCAGCACTGGGGAAGGGATGGGTTTCCAGCCAGGGACACTGGGTTAGACATAGCTGTGTGTTTCGGCTGAGCAGCAGGTAGAGAGGTTGTGTCCCTAGCCCCAGTGTTAAGCAAAGCGGGAAGAATTGTCATAGGATGGAAAAGTGTGAATATAAATTTTACCTTGCAGACTTGCCAGCATAAGCTTTGATCGCCTCATACTGTGTAGCGCATTGTGCCGTTGTCATTATACGATCAGACAGTGCCATCGATGCCCTGCTGACGTTGCTGGGGGCAGATCCCAAGGTGAATGTGGCGAAGGGAACTTGTACCCCTGGAGGTTTGTGACAACCTATAGAGCTTTTTCCAAAGCGGTCCAACTTGGGCTTTTTTTCGCCAACGTGATTTGTGTACTCTGTTCCTTCGTCTCCCTTTGCTCCAGTCCAGTCATCTCAGCTGCCAGGTTCTTCTACAAGGTCAACTCAGTGCGTCTGGCACACTCAATAAATTCAGATCATTAAAAGAGAACCCCCCTCACAGGGAAGGGCCAGTGTGACAGCCCCAGCTCTTGGCCCTGAACCAGACTCACCCTCCCTTGGGAAACTTGAGGGCTGATCACCCCAGTGTGTGAGCCCCAGGAGGCACTGCCCTTTTGTGGGGTGGCCATGATTACATTATTAGCCTCTGGGAAGTAAATAGGACTAGGGCCTGGTGGGCGGGGGGGGATTGGAGGACCAATGCAGGGAAACTTGACCACAAGGTGGTCTCAGGGCCCACTTCCCTCACTTGCAGTCTCGAGAGATATGGGGCATTCTGCTGTGCTACAGGTGGGCATGGTTCTGCCCCATGGGACCTGTGGTGTGGGCACCAAGCAAGGCAGGGTGTTGTTCCTGAGGAAGAAGGTGTGGGTGCAGAATGACACAGTGGGAACCCTCATGTAACCTAAAATGTCAGAGAAGCAAGCCTTTTGGAATTGAGACTTGTGATGGGGGTCAGCTGGGGAAGAGTGCTCCAGCCAGAGGGAGCCCCCAAAGCAACCGAGCATGTCCCCACTTGGGAAAGGCAGAGAAAGATGACATTCAAGACCTGAGCCAGAGAGGCCACCTAGAGCTGGCTTCCAGTTTGGGGTTCCTACCAGCTAGGATTTGCCTCTTCCCTGATGATGTGCCTCCTTAGGAGAAACGTCCCTCGTACCCATACAGTGAGCTCTTAGCCTGACAATTTAGTAGAGTGGTGGACACACACAGAGTCCCATCGTGCCAATCTCTATTTCCACATGGGACCTTGGCAGTCACTCCAGGCACATAATGTGTTTGCCCATGTTAGAGAAGCAAGCCAGCTTGCAAAGAACAGGCTATCTGAAGTCTGGCTGATCTTGGTGGCACTTTGCACCTGTAGGCAAATAAAGAACCCAGTACCAAGAGTTAAGGCTCCCTGTCCCTGAATAAGCTGGCAGTAGATTGGAGAGAAAATCTTTTCCTTTGTAACACATTACTGTAAAGGCTGGGACTCCAACTGGACTCCCAGGGGTCTGAGCTGTCTGTAGGCTGTACACTGCCACAAACTCCAGAAGAAGAGCCCTCCCTTGCCTCTTCCAGCTGTGGTGGGCCCCAGGTACTCCTTGGTTTGTGGCTGCAGAAATTCATTCTGTGCCTCTGTCTTCATGTGACCTTAGAAAGACACCTGTCATTGGGTTAGGCCTGCCGAGATAATCCTGCTCTGATCCTTAGATTAGAGGCAGGCGTTTGCCCAAGCAGCTAGCACATCGCTATGCCTCATCACAGGACCCGAGTTCAATCCCCAGCTCTGCCTCTTAACTCCGGCTTTCAGTTCTGGCTGATCCTGGGAAGCAGTGAGGACAGCCCTAGTATTTAGGTGCCTGACTCCCTCGCAGGAGAGCTGGATTAAGTCCCAGCTCCTGACTTCAGTTGGGATATTGTGGGTGTTCTCCAGCTTCAACACCAGCATCCCATACAAGTGCTCGTTAGAGTTCTAGCTGCTCCAGCCCCCTGCTGATGCACTGGAGAAAGCAGAAGATGGCTGAACTGCCAGGGCTTCTACCACCAAGTGGGAGATAACCAGCAGGTGGAGTTCCAGGCCCCAGACCAAAGCTTGAAAGAGAGAGAGAGAGAGAGACCTTCCATCCGCAGGGTTGTGGAGCACATAGGTGGTGCCTGATGGCCCTAGTCCTTGAGCCCTATTGTGTCTTACAAGCAGGGTAGTGCGCATCCAGGTCCCAAATGCTCTTCCAATGGCAGCAACAAGAACTCCCTTTGCTTTCAGGGGCTCTCCCCTCCATGGTGGGCCTTGGCACCTCTCCTCCCAGCCTCTCTCTCCTGTCACCTTAGCAGACACATCAGGCCCTTGTAGGAGCGAGGATGAGACTGTGGCCAGTCTATGTGCATCATCACTGACCATCCCGTCAGTGACCTTGGGCTCTGCAAACATTCCTAATGGTGGGCGGGGGAGGGGTGTTGTACTTGAGCCTTGGTTTGCCTGCCGCAGCGCGGGTGGGACAATCCAGAACCTTCCCTCTTGGGACCAGCACTGTGGCCTATCAAGTGAAGCCTCTGCCTGCAGCGCCCATGTGGACACTGGTTCGTGTCTTGGCTGCTGTACTTCCAATCCAGCTGCCTGTTTATACGCCTGGGGAAAGCAGTGGAAGATGGCCCAAGTGGGAATCCACAGAAGCTCCTGGCTCCTGGCTTTGGATTGGCCCAGCTCTGGCTTTTGGGGCCATTTGGGCAGTAAATCAGCAAATGAAAGAGGTGTGTGTGTGTGTGTGTGTGTGTGTAAGAACTTTCTCCCTGAAGCATGGGCTGGGGCTGGCTAACTCCTTATTCGCAGGGAGCCACACCCTGCAGGGCATCTGGAGCTGCGGCCCCCAGCACAGCCTCCCAGTGCTGGCCACGCGCTCCTCGCCCTCAGTCTCAGGTCTGGGACAGGCTGTGCATTCTCCCTTACGCTGCTTGCCTCCACCATTCCCTGGGGAGTTATGGCACACAGCTCCATGTGTGTCTCCACACTTCGCCTCTGCCATGGCCCCTGACACTGGGCAGGGTTGAGTCTCGGACTCTGACTTCACAGTGGTCTCCTTGGATCCTGGAGGACTCTCCTGTGGATATACATGAATCCCTGATCCACCCTTCTCATCCGCACCAATCAGAGAGCATCACGGTTCAGCTCTGCGCTCTCACAGCCGTTTCTAAACATCCGATAGGCAGGTGTTTTCTGGAAGGGGTGGGATGGAGAGAGCGGTGGACACAGGCTTCTCTCACCTTCTTTGGTCCAGCCAGAGGCCCTCTGTGTCTATCCCCAGTGCCTCCTTTGCCTGCCAAAGCCCCTAGGCAGCCACGCTTATTCCTACCACCAACATCAAAGGAAACCCCTCCATGGTTCCCTCCAGCAACCTGCAAATTCCATCCTGGAGGATGTGATCAGACCTGGGGCACAAAAGACCAGAATTATGTTGGGGGAGGCATCCTGTGCCCACTGCCAGCCCTCACACTGGCAGAACCGCGTGGAGGGAGTAAGGTACAGTGTCCACGCGCCCCCACAGTATCATGAAAAAAGGCAGGCTGCTTGTCTCTTCTTTTTAGTTGTATAAGATTTGTTTATTTTTATTGGAAAGTCAGATTTACAGAGAGAAGGAAAGACAGAGAGAAAGATCTTCCATCCCTTGGTTCACTCCCCAAGTGGTCTCAATGGCCAGAACTGAGCCGATCTGAAGCCAGGAGCCAGAAGCTTCTTCTGCCTCTCCCACACAGGTGCAGGGTCCCAAGGGTTTGGGCTGTCCTCGACTGCTTTCCCAGGCCACAAGCAGGGAGTTGGATGGGAAGCTGAGCCACCAGGATATGAACTGGTGCTTTATATTGGATCCTGGTGCATGTAAGACAAGGATTTAGCCACTAGGCTACCACACTGGGCCTTGTCTGATCTAACAGCCATATCCTTGCCCCTGACCCCTGAATGGCAGCATGGAGTGCAGAAGGGAGCCTCAGTGGAGGCTTGGGGACCACCCTGTCATTCTTGCCTACCGAGCCAGGCTTCTACCTTCCAGGTTATGGTGTGAGTCCACTCCGAGGTTGATGCGGCAGATTTTTGCTCAAGCAGCCATGCTGGTGTCTAGGTTGTGATACAGATTATGGTTGGGGAGCACGCCCAACCCCCCCCACACACACCACAGCAGGGGGCCTGCAGGTGCTGCCAAACTCACACCTGTAGCACACCGTGCTGGGGGTTGGAAACAGGCCCAGGGAAAGTGATCTCTCTAGAACAATTCCCTTTTTCTGCAGTGACTGATTTTAAAGGGTGTCTCTGCCCCTGCTCTGCCTGCCATAGTGGAACTGCTTCCCCTTTGCTTCCCAGGCCCCTTCCCTCTGTGTAGTGTGTTCAGACCCTCAGCCTTCCTGTGTCTACTCCCAATGCATTGCCATGGGCACGGGCTCAGCCACTGCCTACTGAGCTGTAATTCCTACTCTGTACGCGTTAACATCTCAACTCTACAGAGTGAGGGCTTTAGGTCAGACATGGGCTAACTTCCAGGTGCTAAATCTCACCGGCAGTGTGCCAACAAGCACGTCACCTGATGCCTGTGGCCTTATCCATTCAGAAACTAATGGGACACTGCTGGCTAAGCACCAACCACAGGCTTTGGCTTGTAGCAGTGGGAAATAGCTCATTTGCACTAGAGGGCAACGGTACGGTACTTATTCACTTCAGGGGTAACTAGACTTAAACATGCAGAAATAAGAGGACTTAACCAACACAGTGTCCTAACCTGGGCACCTCCAAACCCCAATGCAGCAGGAGAGCAGAAACTGGACCCAGTTCACGACTTAGAAGTAATATGGGTCCAGATGGACTGAAGATGAGGGCAAGCTGGGCCACTGTTCTTGGACAGGTGGGAGACAAGCAGAGACACTTAGAGGCTTGGTCAGCTTTGGGGGGGTCGCACCAACAGGGAGGGCACGTTTATTATCTCTGGTTTGCTCTGCATGGAGTAAGGAAACAGAATTAGCTAGAACACATGGGATGCTTGGTTGAGGGGGAAGGTCAAGAGCAAGACAGGAACTAGATCTTCAGTGTGGTCACTTCAGGAACCATGTCTCAGCCACACATGCTGGGTGACAGGTTGTCAGGGTCCTGCGTAGGAATGGCAATGAAGATGAGCACAAAGAAGGGCGTAAATCAGGGAAGTGATGCTGTCTTGGTCCATTTCCTGTGCCCACAACAACATATCTGATGAGCGATTAATGAAGAGATACATTAAGCAGTGACGCACCTTCAAAGCTCCGGTGAGGGCCCACTGGCTACATAGCCTCATGGTGGGAACACATGACACAGGAAGTTGAGAAGGATTCGTGAGCCAGACTTGCTCTTTTTCTTGATTTATGCTTG